AATTTTATGCCATATCGCACATTCCGTTAGCACTTGTAAAAATGTTACCTTAAATAAAAACACTGCTATAGATTTGATTTAATCTGCCTGTAACTCTGTCACTGAACATTTTAAGTGATTTAGAAGTCAATTAGCTCGCAAGGTTTTCGCTCATTTTTTTTAAACAATATTCTAGCTGAATTCATTAGCCAAAACCTCTAATATTTTGTTTATCTACATTATAGAAAAATCAGTTGTCGTTACTTATATCATGAATTGTGTCACATCAACTTGAGTGCAGAGATTTCTGTTTTCTGTCTGGGCTGCCAGTTTGAACTATACCTGTTGGTCTTGAAAAGTTAGTTATATAAATTTATGTTAATATAAAAAGGTCACTTACCAATTGTCTGCTTGATGTGGAATGCCGGCCTTTGTTCCTCCACCTTTGGCTCTATACGCCCGAGTGCATTTGCTGTTATTAAGTGACCTTGTACTAGGTGGCTGTTGATGCTACAGTTTCTAGCTAAGCTGTGTGGCAGTCTGGTGGGGGCCCCTAGTACCACCAAACACACCACCTGCAGAAAGCTATTAGTAAGACTAGTTCAAAAGTCATAATTTAGTCCAAGATCAACTTAGAATTTATCTCATAGTTTGTTAGATCGACAGTGAAAACTTGACAATCACTCCTCCCAGGACACGCACCATGGACACCCTTCTTTCATATCACTTTCACATCACGTACACATTTTTGTTTTGACTAGTGTCAGTTTTAACTTAAGAACACACTTAGGAACACCACACACATAGACACCTTATTCCTTATATATTATCAGCTTTTCAAGGCTGTAGACATATATACAACACATTTTACCTCTTTTCCTTTAAAACAACATTTCTAAATGGCCCTCAACTGCCTACTCTAAAAACTAACCTGACCCTATTACTACTCTTAACAACTTCACAATGTTCTACAGGTCTCTCCTGGACCTGTGCATTTCACTCTTGGACTTCATACCTTGTATTATAGGTGTATATTTTAAAGATCCTCCCGTTTCAATAAGCACTGCTATTACCAATACGTCGTTCATTGCTGTGCTCTTTGATCAGTCTGCGTCCAGCCGCAGACCTCAAGGGGACTAACACAAAAACAGGATCCCTGGGCCGACAACTTCTTTCAGAGAATTAGCAAAGCTCTCCACAGGCACCCAAAACTCAGTAGTTTTTTCGAACTGTCAGACGACCCGCACCTCTTAACGTTTTTCCCGATGTTCACGTTTTAATGCGTTTCTAGTAAACAGCGACGGGCAATTACGCCCGGAACATCTTCGGACTGCGCACGCTTCTCATAAAGATTTTACCGTCTGCATAAATGGCGTTATAATTTTCACGCGGGGCTTTAAACCTCCAGTCAGGCCGTTTGTTTAATTTAATCTAAAATCAAACAAAAGTTTATGCACGGGCTTTAAATCAGCTGGACGATTCTTATTTTTAGGGAAAAAATAGTGTTTCGCGTGTTTATAATGCTCTCGGACTACTTTCGGTTAGTAAGTTGCTAACGTTTCTGGTCCGCTCCCACGTGCACCCCGGCAAAAAATGCCACGTATATAAACTTTTACTTCCAGTAAATACATTCACAAAATCACGTATTATACTGTAACATTCTATTGCCTTTTTGTTCACTAAACTGTGTGCACAAAGATCGAAATCAGGACAGACTGTTTGTCCTTAAGGGACACGCAGAAATTCGACTTAACAGGCTTTCTGCTTACATCATAGATGATAAATAGCCGGCTCAGTCTGTGCAGAATCGGTCACCTGCCGCTATATTACGATTAAACAATAAGAAACGAGCTACCACTTCTAAAGACGGGAGACCGGCGTTTAAGGCATCAAGCTGTTAAAGATGGGGTCTGGCTGCGGGTCACCGGACCTGGAAACCTACCTCCAGCCCACGTTGCTCCCCCGGCTCGAACCTCCCTCAGAAGCAGTAACCCACACTAACAATAAATCAAGGAGACGTCAATTAAGTTTTATCAATTATATTAAATCAAGGCAGGAAAAGGTTACAATTTACAGCACTGGTCTCTCCGGGACAGTTCGACACGAGCAGGAACCGGAAGAAGGGCAGATGTCCCGTGTCATTACTCATTTATAGGGTCCTAGACTCCTCCTTCACAGAAGGGGAGCTCAACCTGTCAGTGTATGAGGGGGCGTGACTAAGTGTGATCTCAATGGATCTTATGTGGTTCTGATGTGTATGGAAATATGAGACGGTGCTTCAAAAGCCTTTCTACGTGATGTGGCAAGCAGAAATAAACTCCATTCCTTGACGGACATTGAATCCCAGGGAGACTCTTTTTAGAGTTGCTGGTCCAGTTTAACCCAGTCAGAACCGGGTCATAATTTCAGGGATCACAGGGAACTGTGCTGAACAGAAGTTCTCTGATGACTCTGCCACAGTCGGCCTCATCACAAGTGAGGACGACTCAGAGGACAGACAGCGGACTCAAGACTTGGTGGACTGGTGCCAGCAGAACCAGCTCCTGATCAACGCTGCTAAAACTAAGGAGCTGGTGGTGGATTTCCACAGGCACAGGTCCACTTCACTGACCCTGGTGAACATCCAGGGTGTGAACATCGAGATCATGGACTCTTACAAGTACCTGGGTGTTCACCTGAACAATAAACTGGACTGGTCTCACAACACTGATGCACTTTACAGGAAGGGTCAGAGCAGACTCTACCTGCTGAGGAGACCGAGGTGTTTTGGAGTGCAGGGGGTGCTCCTGAAGACCTGCTTTGACTCGGTAGTGGCATCAGCCATCTTCTATGGTGTTGTGTGTTGGAGCAGCAGCTTATCATCAGCTGAGAAGAAACAACTAGATAAGCTCATCAAGAAGACCAGCTCGGTGCTTGGACGCCCCCTCGACCCAGTGCAGGTGGTGGGAGACAGAAGGACTCCAGCTAAAATAACATCATTGCTGGACAACGTCTCCCACCCCATGAAGCTGCTGCTGAACTGGAGAGCTCGTTCAGTGACAGGTTCCTGCTCCTAAATGCACAAAGGAGCGTCACCGCAGGTCCTTCCTCCAGCAGGTCCTTCCTCCAGCAGCTGTTAGACTCTACAACCATCACTGCTCCAACAAACTCAACAAGGATTAAATACATGCTGACCTCTGCTGAAACACACTCTGCCTGTAACACTGTGCTGTCAATAGTCTGTCCTTATCAATGCTCCAATACATATTGAACTTTATTACTGATATTGTTTATCTTATTTCTTATATATTGTATTGTTTATTAACATTTAGGAACTTTTGTGTGAAATATTTTTATCTTTTTATCTGTTGCTGCAGATACACTGGAATTTCCCATCCGTGGGACAATAAAGGCTGTTTCTATTCTATTCTATTGTAATTTCATTATAATCCCATCTCTGAGCAGGTCAAAACCCCAGGACCAGTCTAGATAAATATCTTAACACCATATAGGATGATTTATTTGCTGTTTCTTCTGGTATTTAGACACATTAGTAAACCAGTAAAGCACAAACAAGCTTGAAAAACAAGGCCATGTCAAGAGAGATAAAAATCTCCAACTGAGCTCTGCACTTTACAAGAGTGGTGCGTTCACTAGTGTTGAAAGCCACGGTGCATTCAAGAGCATAGGGACTATTAAATTCTGAATGAAACAAGCCATAACCAAACAGAACGGAGCTCAGTAAAGAAGCCAACTACACAACAGTGTGGGCTTTCTAACAGCTTTGTTAATAAAGGTTATTAAAGGTTGAAGGAATAAACTTAATTAGAATCAGACTTTTTAAAGATAGTCACCTCTTCATTTGCTCTCATTTTCATTTGCTCATTTGCGCTGTATGTTTTCTGTTTAAATTTAAAGTGCACAGCAGTATTTTGGTTTTGTTATGCAGAAAAAAACTATTTTATTTTTGAGACATTTATTTTGTGCAGTGTACATGCCGTTTGTTAATAAAGGTGCCTGTGTGACAAGTGGGATTTGGGACTAAGCTTTGATTCTGAAATATGTTTTTGTTATTATTTTACGGAAAGAAAAAATATCGAGATATATATCGTATATCGCCATTCATCTTAAAATATTGAGATATTAATTCTGGTCCATATTGCCCAGCCCTAGTTTAAAAGAACACTTTATGATATCCACTTCATGACACTAAAAAGGCTGATTAAAATGGATTGTTGTCTTTAAATAACAATTTTCAAATATTTCATAGCAAACACTTAAAAAAACACTTTACACTCCCATCGCTTTTCCATAACTTTTTGCTTCCAACTGAAATATTGTGAAATTCCTGGTGAATGGGTTGGCTACAAGTAGCTGCTTCTGTCACTAATTGTGTTTTTAAATAACCATCAAAATCTCATGGAGGACACACTTAGCAGCTGAAAAGTCCACTTTTATTTCTCTATATTTGGCCTAAATTCATGATAAAATTTGACATGTTTATTTCAACTTAAGAAATTTTCAAAAATTATATGAAAAAACTTGTACTTGTTTGTATTCCTAACAGATAATGATATCAAAGTCTACAAAGTCTCATTTTATTAATACTTTGTTTGTTTTTTGATATTCTTGGGCAGCTGTGGCTGAGTGGTTAGAGCATTCGTCCTCCAATGGGACAGTTGGGGGTTCGATTTCAGCAGCAGTCACATGATGAAGTGTTCCTGGGCAAGACACTTAACACCTCATTGCCTCTAATGTGTGTCCCGTCGGTGTATGAATGTGATAAAGTACTGATTAGTCTTGGTATAGATCTAGTAGAGTGCAGTATGAATGGGTAAATGAGGCACAGATTGTGTTGTAAAGCGCTTTGAGTATCTTGATAAGATAGAAAGGTGCTATATAAGTGCGGTCTATTTCCATTTATTATAAGATATACCTTCATGAAGCTTGAATTTTCAAGGTACTCGGCTTTTGATTGACACGTAAATTTTCAGCCTTTTGTTTGTCTGGATTGTATCAACATTTTGCTACTTTGATTGTAGAGTTTCATTCAAATCTCTCGGAGGGTGCAGAGGATGAAATGAAGACTTTCAATGAAGACCTTGTCTGCAGTCATGGTATTTTCAAACTTCAGCATTAATAATAATTTTTGCAGTACCTTTCAACAAGTTTAGGCTAATTATTCCTCTTGCAGATAGATGCACTGTACAATTTCTGTTCTCACCGTAGGAGGCCTGAATATTTTGGAGACAGAACGAAAGCTGGTATCTACTGAAGTTTGGATCAAATTGAAAAAATATTTCCCAAAAGCCCCAGAGTTCAACCAAAACCAAGGTCCCTGTCAGCAGTGTCTGGTAAGATGACTGACAGACATGTATGAATTGTTACACTCTTATTTCATGTTATTTCTTTTCATTTTCTTTATATAACATTTTTACCGTTGTGTGTTTGTTTTTTGGTCAGCAAAATATTTCATGAACCAGTGGATAGATTGTATGCTGGTGTGGATTCTCAGTCATCAAGGACATGGCAAACCCAACTAATTTTAAGAAACAAAGCACTTGAGAAGAATAGTCTCATGCAGGCTAAAGCTGTGAACTCCACACTTTCCTATTTTGAAACATAAATCTTCCCAGCTGAAAAACAAAACATCTTCAACTACAAAATAGAAGTCCTGTTACTATACATAAAATTTTTTGGAAACATCCATCCATTCATTATCTTCCACTTGTTCCGAAGTCGGGTCGCGAGGGCAGCATCTTGAGCAGGAAGGCCCAGACATCTCTTTCCACATCCACCTCTTCCAGCTCTTCTGGGGGGACCCCAAGGTGTTCCCAGGCCAACCGAGAGACATAGTCTCTCCAGCATGTCCTGGGTCTTCCCCGGAGTCTCCTCCCAGTCGGACATGCCCGAAACACCTCCCTAGGGAGGCGTCCGGGGGCATCCTTACCAGATGCCTGAACCACCTTAACTGGCTCCTCGATGTGGAGGAGCAGCGGTTCTACTTCGAGTCTCTCTCAGAGAACTGAACTTCTCACCCTATTTCTAATGGAGAGTCCAGCTACCCTGCTGAGGAAACTCATTTCAAGGTTCTTTATTTGTCATTCACACCACATGTGGCACATGTGGTAGAACGAAATTGTGTACACAGGGTCCCAGCCACGTCCAGCAAAATTATTAAAATGTAAAAGAAAAACAGTAATAAGATCTAAGATATGACCTAAGAAAAACGTTAACAAAAAATACACTAAGCACTAGTAGTACAAAAACAATACGCCGAACAGCAACACGAACATGAGTCTGTGTGAGCAGATGAGTATGAATGAAAACAGCAACATGAAATACCATATTTTTCACTGTATAAGTCACAGTTTTTTTGCATAATTTGCATGCCCCGCGACTTAAAGGCTGAAACGACGTATTTCTGGATTTTTTTTTCTCCCATATTTATAAACCAAATTTTGGCTGAGATATGACCTTTTTCATTCATTCATTCTGACTGTAAAAATTGAACACTACCATTTTCAGCCACTAGATGGCACCAGAGTAGTAAGGCATGCAGGCTTGATTACAGGTATCATGTAATGGGTAAAAGTGGCTACAATTATAAATTAAACAAATTTCAAAACAAAAAACTTGACTTTATTATACCATATTTTCCGGGGGACACGTCGCACTGCCCTATAAGTTGCATCAGTCCGTATTTGTCTAACGTGAAAAAAATCCATAAATATGTTGCTTCGCCGTATACGTCGCATCTATTATGCGTCACCAATGACGTGTCGCATTTGTTATGCATCACCGCTGACAACCCGGAAATGTGGAACTGTGTTGTGCCAAAAACCGATGGGCTGCCAAACGGTGGCCGTGGGAATGTACACAGGAGGACTTTAACAAAAATTTAATAAGATTAACATTTAAAAACAATTATTTGTTTGCTTGAAATTATAATAAAGGTGTGTCTCAGTCTAACTTTTGCTTAATAAATGCACTTTGATGGTCAAGTCAGCTGTATTTCAAAAGCCTATTCCCGGAAGCGGCAGGCACACGCAGAGGGATGAGCCTCCGCATTTCTTCGAAATGTAACACAATTAACACCTAAAAACGTTTATTTGTTTGTTCAAAATTATAGTAAATGTATGTTTCAGTCTAACTTCTGCTTAATAAATGCACTTTGATGGTCAAATCAGCTGTATTTCAAAAACCGATACGCAGAAGTAAAGACGTGCACGTGACGAGTCGCTATGCAAATTTATCAGGATAGCCACATAAAAACAATTATTTGTTTGCTCAAAATTATATCAAAGGCATGTCTCAGTTGAACGTTTGCTTAATAAGTCAAGTCAACTTTATTTATAGAGCACATTTAAAACAGAACCTGTTATCAAAGTGCTTAACAACAACAACAACAACAATCAATGGGTGTAAAATTAAAGAGAAAAAAATACAATACACTAATAAAAATAAAAACTGAAGAATTAATAAAAATCATTTAAAACACAGGATCACAGAACAAAAAACACTAAATCAATTTACACTGTGTGAAATGCCTGAGAGAACAGATGTGTTTTTAGCAGAGACTTGAAGTGAGGAAGGGAGGTGTCCTGCCTGATGTTGGGGGGCAGGTTGAAGGGAGGTGGCCTGCCTGATGTTGGGGGGCAGGTTGAAGGGAGGTGTCCTGCCTGATGTTGGGGGGCAGGTTGAAGGGAGGTGTCCTGCCTGAT